GGGGTGAATGTGTGCGCTGGGCGACCCCTTCCCAGGGGTTTCGAAGCCGCCTGCTCTGGTTAAACGAGGAAAAGCTTCATGATCTCTGCGGTTCTTGCTCTCGGATTCTCTCCCTGCTTCCTTGGGCTCAGTTTTCCTACGTGCCAGCCTAGGCTTTCTGTCAGTGTCAGCTTGCCCCTGCTTCTGGCGAGATAATCAACAGAAATATTAAATGGCCCAGGTCCTTCAGCGGTTGTTACTTCTCATTTGCTCGTCTAAGTGTTTTGCTTGCAGCTGTACTTTGCTTCCGTTTTACTGCTGGAAAAAAAATACAGAAAAAAAGCCGGGACATTATTTTCTTTCCATTATCCTTTAAAATGTATGGATTGACCTCTCTTTTGCACTTCCTGGTATCTTCCACTTCCCCATTTCCAAAATGTAGTTTTCTTCCTTGATCTGTATTTTTCATTTATTATGACTTTTCTTATTTTCGTATCTTCAGTCTGGAGAAAAGAAGGCTCCGAGGAGACCTTATTGTGCCCTTCCAGTATCTCAAGGGGGCTACAAGAAAGCTGGTGAGGGACTTCCTTAGGATGTCGAGTAGTGGTAGGACATGGGGGAATAGATTAAAGCTAGAGATGGATCGGTTCAGATTGGACGTTAGGAAGAAGTTCTTCCCCAGGAGGGTGGTGAGACACTGGCACAGGTTGCCCAGAGAGGGGGTGGAAGCCCCATCCCTGGAAGTTTTTAAGACCAGGCTGGATGGGGCTCTGAGCAGCCTGATCTAGTGGGGGATGTCCCTGCCCATGGCAGGGGGGTTGGAACTAGATGATCTTTAAGGTCCCTACCAACCCCGACAATTCTATGATTCTATGATCTTCTTAAAGTGCTTATTGATTTTGTTGCATTTGGAACCTTCTCTACTGTTTTCCTCATTTTGGAGTGTGATTTACAGGTAGAACTAGCAGCTTCAATGTAAAAAACTTGTGGGTTTTTTTCCTTCTAATTCCAGAGCTTTCCAATCCAAAGAACCTCATTAGCTGACTTCTGGTTTGTTGAAATTTTCCCACTTGCAGTCCAAAACCGTAGCTACAAGCCTGTTTCACTTACCTTCTTAATTTAAATTGAGTAAATCAATTTATGATGTTTCAATACACAATTATGCTCTTATCCTGGTTCTTCTGATCCCACCATGAAATGTAACTACTATTGAGTATTTGTTTTTTGTTTTCAGGTTTTAAAAGCATTTGATTCCTTCCCTTCTTGGAAAGAGCAGCAACAGATGTACAAGCTGGACATAGGCTGGCCTAAAATTCCAGAATACTTCACTGGCCAAACATTTTGTGTTGCTGTTGATTCTCTTCATGGTTTGGTCTATGTGGGACAAGTAAGTTCTGCTGTATTCCTCTCCTTGTTGTTCTGGTGGCGTTTTTACCTCTAAAGTTTCTGATTCTGATTAGGTTATACATGTGTGTGTATGTCTGTGGCTATGTATATGTGAGTAACTATTGTATCAAAATTAGTGAAAAATATAAAAGTATGGATGTCTCTGCTGTATCCATTTTTAAAGCAGTTCTGGAACCATCCTTGTTTATGCTTTTAAATTTCTGTGGTATGAATGCATGACTCAACTTAACTGGGTTACAGGAACTTCTTTTTTTAACTGTAAGGTAAAATGTGATTCTGGGGCAACTGAATCTTACACTCTTTCACCCTTTGCCACATGAAATCAAACCCATGCAGTATTTTCAGACAGTTCCAGTAACTGGAGTTCAGTTATTTGCTTTAGCCAGATACTATTGGTATCTCTCTAAGTCATGAGTAAGATATTCTCTCAGTGTTTATGGATGGGATTTAATCATCAAGCACAATGGAATTACTTGAGTACTTGACATATAACATAATAACATGTCTCAAAATTAAGACCAAGGCAGCTGCAGGAGCTTGGCTGCTCTGAAAATGTGACTCTGCGCAATCCACTAGAATGAGTGGAAGGTGTTATGTGCTAAACTTAGACCCTTCTCTCTCTTTCCTTCTGCAGCTGGAAAAAATGAGATCTAGCACACAATCTTAGGAGATTCTTATGTTTCATGAAACATTGCAGAAACCTAACAAAGAGGAATTTTCAAAAATATGATTACTTGCTTAGCATGTTTTCTTAATAGTTTGGTTTTGTTTTTTTTCCTTTATAGAGGGGAGAAAATGTGCCAAAGGTACTTGTGTTCTCAGAGGAAGGCTATTTTCTTTACTCCTGGAATAATACAGTTGAAATGCCTCATGGTATCTTTGTAGTGAACACCGCAACAGATAGCTCCGTGTGGCTCACAGATGTTGGAACAGGTATGCATGGTGGTGGTATGAGAAATATTAGGTAGGGAAGAAAATGCTGATATCACAGATATGGCTTTAAACAACTTATATGTATAACTCTCGCAAACAGTCCTGAGACAGATTTGTGCTTTTCTTGCTGTGAACAAAGTTCTTGGGTGCTGCACAAAATACTCTGAAGACTTGGGGAGGAGTGGCTGGAGAGCTGCCAGGCAGAGAGGGACCTGGGGGTGTTGATGGACAGCCAGCTGAACATGAGCCAGCAGTGTGCCCAGGTGGCCAAGAAGGCCAATGGCTTTCTGACCTGGATCAGGAATGGTGTGGCCAGCAGGAGCAAGGAGGTGGTCATTCCCCTGTGCTCAGCTTTGGTGAGACCGCACCTCAAGTACTATGTCCAGTTTTAGGCCCCTCACTGCCAGAAGGACACTGAAGCACTAGAACATGTCCAGAGAAGGGCAACAAAGCTGGTGAAGGGTCTGGAGACCAAGTCTTATGAGGAACAGCTGAAGGAGCTGAGGTTGTTTAGCCTGGAGAAAAGGAGGCTGAGGAGAGACCTTATCACCCTCTACAACTACCTGAAAGAAGAGATGTGGATCGGTCTGTTAAACCAAATAACAGAATCACAGAATGTTAGGGGTTG